ACATGCCCCCGCCAGTGTTAGTGGTGCTGATAAGAGCAGACACCACTAGCACCTGGGGAGAGGCTCCATCTATTGGTGGGGAGCATCACCTGCTGGAAAACGGGTCCAGCCTCCCATATACAGATTGAACATAGAATACATCAGAAAAACAGTCAAGGGGGAATCCTGCCAGCATTGATTGCCCTGGGAGACAGGGGATTGACTGAGCAGGATAAAAAGGAGGAGAGGGGGAACCTCTTCACCCTGAACCCGGCGCCAGATACCTACTGATACACACTAGTTCCTCCCTCCCCCTCCCCGTCCCCCATACTTTCCTGTTATTAGAGTACTCAGGCTGCCAGCATTGACTACTCCAATCTGTAGAAGGGGGAATCACTGAGCAGCGAAAAAAGAAGGAGAAAAAGCTGTTAGCAGAAAACTCCCTGGGGTGCTCCAGGTAAGAATTCCTTCTATGATTAAGAGGTGTGTGGAAGACTGGGTTATAGGATTTTATCATTCAGGACAGGATCTCTGCCAAGGAAAGAGCATGGGGCGGGAAAGGGTCTGGGAAATCAGCCGAGGGGCGAAGTGGGAATGAGGGTTCTATGTTTGTCCAGTCTTTGAAGCTTAGGCGGTAGTCTCTCATCTCTTCCAACTCCCTCTGTCCCTCTTCTCTATCTCCGCTCCATTCTACTTTTGCAATCCACCCGTCTCTCTCTTTTTTTTTTTTTTTTTTTTTTTTTTAAAGGCCCATACAAGGCCTCTATCCTGGTGGTGGTAAGAGAACCACCGGGATTGAGGCTTTGCCAAGCGGGCCGCTCCATCTATTGGTGGGGAGCAACACCTGCTGGAAACCGGGTCCAGCGTCCCACAATATCTTTTTACAGACCAATCCATTGTGAAGGTGGCGCTACTGTGCTGGAAACCGGGTCCAGCGTCCCTAACTCAGTCTGTTATTCCCTACCTATTCTGCAGCAGGATCGGTTATTGGGAGGGGAACACCGGGGGGCACCGGTGGGGTCTCCTCCCATCCTCTCACCTCTGCCATCCACCTACTATCATCGTGGCGCCTATTGTGTCATTTGGCTTCTGCAATAGGTTACATTGAAAAAAGCTGGAGCACTAGAAAGGCAGAAAAAGGAAAGGTTGAAAAGGACTGAAGTGAGCTACCAAACAGCTACCAAACAGTTGAAGTCATGCCGTATCCTACAAATTCCTCTGCCAACCCCTCGTTAGATAACTCTAAGTCCCCAGATATTCCTCCAGTGCCAGCGGGTGGGGGGGAAAGGGATCACCGAAATCCTGTGCGGGTCTCGGTGGGGTCTCCTCCCATCCCCTCACCTCTGCCAGCCGCCTACTATCCTCGTGGCGCCTATTGTGTCGTTTGCCTTCTGCAATAGGTTACATTGAAAAAAACTGGAGCACTAGAAAGGCAGAAAAGGAAAGGCAGAAAAGGAAAGGCAAAAAAGGAAAGGCAAAAAAGGAAAGGCAGAAAAGGAAAGGCTGAAAAGGACTGAAGTGAGCTACCAAACAGCTATCAAACAGCTATCAAACAGCTATCAAACAGCTGAAGTCATGCCGTATCCTACACATTCCTCTGCCAGCCCCTAGTTATGTAACTCTAAGTCCCCAGATATTCCTCCAGTGCCAGCGGGTGGGGGGAAAAGGGATCACCGAAATCCTGTGCGGGTCTCAACTGGTCGCTGGGATCCACCTTGGTCCAGTCCTTGAAATGAAGCTGATAGTCTCTTACCAGGTCTTCCTCTTGTCCCTCTCCATGTCCTTCATTCTGCTGGTCCAGCCTGTCCCCTGTCCAACTCACCTTCGCGACCCAGCCCTCCCTCTCCCCCCCCAGCCAGCTTTCACAGAACCGGGAAATACTGTTTCTAATGTCACCTCTGCTGTGCATCTGACTCAGATTTTCCTTAACTCTTTGCCATTGTGCCGCAATCTCATGCTGGAAGAGCAGCCTTATCTGTTCTGTGACTTCCCCCTCCTCCACCCTTGCCCCCTCTAATTCCAGGATGCATCTTCGCCACCATATGACCCATAGAATAGTACGCCTGCCTAGAGAGTACATATTTGCCACAAAGGCGTTGCCTCGAAAGGGGGGTAGTGTCCTAGCAGGATTGCCCTCCAGTCCCATGGCCATAATGAGCCTGGAACGATGTGCCGCCAGATCCTATCCCACCATCTCCATAACAAGACCGCTGCAGGGCATTGTAGGAAAATGTGCTCAATCGTCTCAGGGCGCTTTTTCCGGGGGAAATTTTGGCGGCAACCCCGGCACCAGGGAAGCGTCCTTCCTTGCTGTTCGAGTTGTGTATGATCGATCAGCCAGTCATTGGTCGGTAGGCAGCGATGAGTAATTTGCCATTGAAGGGCGGAGATTTTCGCTGGCCTTCTCTGATACTCGCTGAACCATTGGACGGGTTTGAGTGTGCTTCTGTCTACATTTAGATGGCGCTGCCATCTATCCGCCACCACATTTTTTAGCCCACGTTTGGGTCTGAGCATTCGGTAGACGGACTTCGTTTTTAGGGTAGCTAAATGGACTGTTTTTTCCCCCCCTCGTCCCCGCCCTGCCCTGCCTTTCCACGACCATCGCCATTCTTGGGGATCAAGGGGGAGATTCTCAATTGGGCTCATTGGACGATACGCTCTCCAACCACCTTTCCCTTCTTCGAGCACCCGGATACGATAAACTTCTGATTTTTCTTTCCAGATGAAGGGTTGTTTGCTGTCTTGCAGCCGCCTTGTTTTTGTGATAGCATAGCAATGCATTCAATTAGGACTTGTGCTTGGTCCACTGTGTGTACCCGGCCTATTTGTGATATGTGGCCCGGTAGCCCCACCCAATCGTTTTCTTCCAACGTTGGGCCTTTCTTAAGTCTGGAGTACCATCGGATGGGGAAGCTTTCAATGAGTTCTTCCATTGTGGACTTGAGTGAATGGCAATAGCACAGGCATCTTTTCATTCTTGCTACACTTTTCCATTCTCCGTTTTTCCCATCCCAAAGGTCCCCCACCCTGAGTACCCCATGTTTCACCCAGTTTTTTCATGGGGGGTCTGAGCTGTTCCTTACCCTGGCCAAGAGAATCTGTGATAAATCTATTGTCGAACAGCGGTTGCATGATTATCTCTTCCCACCGTTCTGGGGCGGGGCGGTCGGGGAGTGGGAGCTTCCTCCATGTGCGCAAAAGACGTATCCAATGTTCCTCTGTCGGGTCCCCATTCGAGTATTTCCTGGGGAGTCTCCAGTATCTGTCCTCGAGCCATATTAAAGGGTCAATTTCTGGTGGGGTTTCCGGAGCCAGGGCCGCGATTTGTGTCAGTGCCAGGGGAACCCAGGGGGAGGAGGTTTCGAAAATAATATGTTGAATCCAGTGGATGCTCAAGGCCTGAAATTGTGTGGAAGTGTCCACAATTCCAAGCCCCCCCCCCGATCTTGGGCTGAACAACAGAGTCCCATGCCACATGACTGATGACATGGGTATTACTACTATCCCCTCTCCATAGGAAGGCCGCCGGTTGTTGCTTGAGTGTCTTAAGCCCCGCCCTACTCATGGGCCAAAGGATGGCTCTATACCAGAGGGTGGTCAACACAACGTCATTAATGACGAGAGCCCGCCCAAAGATTGATGTGTGTTTGTGGTTCCATCTTAGTAGTTTGGTCTGCGCCGGCCCAATCAGCCACTCATCCTTTGTGACGGGTTTCCCTTTGGCTGAGTGACGCACCTAAGACTCTAAGGGGATCGCTCGGGGGAAGCCAAGTGATGCGCGGATTCTCTGGTGGTCTGGCCCCCTGGTGGTGCAGCCACCAACCCACAGTTTTTTGCCCCCAATTGACGGTCATGTCTGAGACTCTACCGA